TGTCGCCCAGGCTGGCCTTGAACTTTAAGGGATCCTTAGAAAGAAATTGTAGCTCTAAACAATTCACAATCACAAGTAAAATAACAATAACAGCAATTGCTATTGTATTGAGTAACACTATATAAACAATCCTTCCAGTTTTAACGTTGTCTCTATAATAAATTATAGGTAGAAAATTGAGGGAAATGACTGTCTGAATAATGATAAAGTATATACTGTATTCTCTACTTCAATAAAGCTGTCACTGTTTTATCTTTAGCTAGCCAGCACAGTTAATGTAGAATTAGGTTTCATAAGTTCACCACAAGAAAATTCTCTAGCACTTTCTCTACCCCTATATATCTACCTAATAACCTTTAAATTTCAAGGTAGAAACTGTAAACTGACCTTTCTTTACAGTATTCCCTCCTCCATTGGGAGAACTTTTCAAAGAGGCAATAAAACAAGTATAGGAAGCCTTTTACTCATGTGTAGCATATCCTGATTTCAGTGAAATAAACTAGGAGGAAAAGAAAAGCATCATTTATATAATCCTTCTCAGTTTACAAAGTATTTTCACATTTATTGTCTCATTTAAGCCCAAACTTACAAATCATTAAACTGAAGTTAGTTCTACCTTTTATAGGTAAATGGATGCAAGTCAAGACCATACTCAGAAGTGAAATAAATCAAACACACATGTGTGAATATCATATTGTCTCCCTAGTGTGAGAAGCTGAAAGAGTAAATGAGATTTAAAACATACAATATAGGGGGCCTGGCCTTAGCTCAGTTGTTTAAGTGGCTGCTTCCACAAAGCTGTCAGCCTCAGCTGTAGTTCGATCCCCACAACACTCCAGCCAGCCAAACCACCCCTTAGGGCATTTAGAGAAAAAAAAAAACCTTATTCCAGGGGCTGGTGAGATGGCTCAGTGGTCTAAAGCACCTACTTAGAACAAGCTTTGCAAAGCACAGGGACCACGGTTCGATCCCCCAGCACCACATGCCAGCCAGCCCCTCCCCCTGGTGGGCTGAGCTGGCCACACACACACACACACAAAAGGCACACACACACATAAATAAATAAATGTTTAAAAAATATATAAATAAAAATAAAACATACAATATATATTGTAAAATGAAAAGAAAATTCGAAAGGAAAGAGAAAGTAGGATGAGGGAATGGAAAAAATAAAATACCCTGACACCACATGCCTTGTCGGCCCCACCCTCAGGCACGCTGAGCAGGCCACCAAGTCCAGGAGTAGTGCTGCATGCATGTAATCCCAGCACTGGGGAAGCTGAAAACGTGAAGGTCACTATGAGTCTGAGCTACACAGTGAGACCCTGTACCTAACACATTAAAATAAAATAAAATATCAAAAAAAAAAGAAGAAGAAGAAAATAGCAAAAGAGGAGAGGTTTATTTATTTATTTTTTTAAGGAGAGGTTTATTTTTTGGTTTTGGTGCGAGGACCGAACCTAGGGCTTCTAGCTTGCTAGGCAAGCATTCTACAGCTGAGCCAAATCTCCAGCCCCAGAAAATAGCAAAAGTAAGAAAATATATTTTATCTAAAATAGTTTAAATAGTTATACTACTAATTTCTCTTAGTTCATTGAAAAGACAAGTTTGTGCTAATATTGTTTGGACAATTAAATGTCAGTATCTTGTACTCTGAGTAACTAATTTAAAGATAATAATATGCAATGTGTTAACCATTGTTCCCCTCCTACTACCTTGTTTTGAATTATTTTTTTTTTTCCTCTTTAAAAAAAATTAACAGGGGGCCTGGCCCTAGCTCAGGCCTTTAAGTGGCTGCTTCCACAAAGCTGTCAGCCTCAGGTTGCTGGAGTTCGAACCTCACACCTCTCCTGCTGGCCAAAAGTGCCCTGAAGGCATTCGAGGAACCAAAAAAAAAAAAAAAAAATTAACAAGTAAAAATAAAGGGCCAGAGATATAGCTCAGCAGCACAGTGCCTGCATGGCAAGTGCAAGACTGTTAGTTTGATTCCCAGTAAAAAATAAATTGATTAATTTAAAAATTGAGTTAAAATTAATTGATTGAAATTGAATTAATTAATTAAACTGAAGCTCCAGCAGGGTATTGATGAATGTGAATTTCAAATTTAGATTAAAAAACATCTTGGCATATACACTGCTAAGCTTATCATACATATTACTGAGCATTTCCTACTGTAGTACTCGAGATGAAAGACTTCTGCACAATCAACTTAGAATCTAGAATATACAGAATTTCTGCTAATGAAAGCAACACTCCCAAACAGTCCTTCTTCTGAGCTACACAAAAGCTAAAGATGTAGGAGAGCACACACCTAGCACTTATGAGGCCCCAGGGTTTTGATCCCCAGCACATGGGGGGGGGGGTGCAGCAGTAAAAAAGAAGGGAAAAGGGAAGAGCAGGGGTAGGGAAGGGGAAAGGAGGAAGGAGAGGAGAAAGAGGTAGTGGCAGAAGCACCCAGGCATAGTGGTATCTGGGATGCTGAGGCAGGAAAATTCAAAAGCTCAAGCCCAGATTTAGTAAAACTATGTGTCAAAAGAAAACATTAAAAAGCCTGGGGCACCAGCCTTTAGTTCAGTGAGAAGTCACCTGGTTCAATCCCCAGTACTACAAGGAAGGAAAAGAAGGAAGCAGGGAGGGAAGGGGAAGGGGAAGGGAAAGGGAAAGGAGAAGGGACAGGGGAAAAGAGAGGAAAGGGGAGGGGAGGGGGGGAGGGAAAAAGAAAGGGGAATTACTGACAATAATTTTGCTTTTTACTTTTTTGGAATTTCTAGTCTCAAATCATGTGCATATATCAATTTAATGGTGGAAGACATAAAGCTCTTTTTCTTTTTTAAAGTTTAAAATTTAAAAAAATAGGAATAAGGGTCAAGCATGGTGGTGCTCATCTGTAATCCTAGCAGTCCAGAGGCTGAGGCAGGAAGATCACTATGAGTTCAAGGCCAGCCTGGACTTCATAGTGAGTTTAAGATTAGCTTGGACTACACAGCAAGACCCTGACTCAAAAAGGAAAAAAAAAAGGACTAAAGCAAGTCACCAAATACTCACAATATAATTCTATTCACAAAAACCTGTACACATATGGCTAAAGATGTGACTTGGTGGTAGAGTGTTTCCTAGCATGAGCAAGGTCTTGGAGTCAATGCTGAGTACCACAAAAAAAGGTGCAAATGTATAAAAATATTATTTAGATATGTATGTGTTTAGTAAAGGCATAGAGAAAAGCAAGGGAATGGCTCACATAAAATTTAAGAAAGTAGTTACCTCTGAGAAAGAAGGAGAAAAACTGTCAGGCAAGGCCCCCAAGATGCTTTAAAAGCACTAGAAAATTTCTTTTCATTATGTCAAATGGTGAGCACACAGGTGCTCAACTTGTTATTTTTTACTCTGTGGATTTAGGATACATATACTTTAAAAAAAAAAGATTTATTTATTTATTTATTTATTTGCTACAGGGTCTCGCAATGCAGCTTGGACTCATACTGATCCTCCTGTCTCAGCCTCCCCAGTGCTGGGATTACAGGCATGAGCCACCATGCCTGGCTTTGGTAGCTGGCACAGCACAGGGACAGCATGGCATGTAATACCGAGGATCAAACCTGGTCCTTGAGCTTGCCAGGCAGGTGCTTATACAGCCGAGCTATCTCCCTGGCCCACATATGCTTCTACATACATGACCTGTTTCATAACTTGAAAGTATATAAACAGGACTGAAGAATTAGAATTCTGAGGCTATCATCCAGATGCTTCCATTTATTAGCTATGTAACCTTTCTCTTTTATTTTTTGATTTGAGAAACATTTTTACTGATTTGATTCTTCCCTTTTTTATTAGTATCTATTTCCAGTACATAATAAATATATTCATCGTGAGGAACTGGTACATATACATATCTCATTCTGATCCTTTTTACTTCCCTTCTCTCCCCACTTCCCCATCTCCATGGCTACGTTACTGTAAATCATTTACCCTCTGATAATATAGTTTTTCTTGCTTTATATATCAGGAAGCCAACAGCTAACATGTGTTTATTTACTACTTGTCATTTAAAGAATTGTTTATAAAGTACCTGAAGCACAACCCGGAAAGGCGGCACAGCCTGTAATCCCAACAGCGGAAGAGATGAGGCAGAAGTACCTCAAATTCAAGCCAAGCCTAGGCAATTTACTGACTTATCAAGACCCTGTCTCAAAAAAAATTTTTTTCCTTTTTTTTTTCTTGGAGACAGGGTCTCATTATGCAGTTCAGGCTGGCCTTGAGATCACTTTGTAGCCCAGGCTGATCTTGAACTTACAACAATCCTCCTGCCTCAGCCTCCCAGTGCTGGTATTACAAGCATGAGCCACTGCATCTGGTTAATATGATTTTTTTTTTTTTTTTTTTTTTTTGGTACTGAGGACCAAACTCAGGACCTTGCACTTGCCAAGCAGGCACTTACACCACTGAGCTATCTCCCTGGTCCTCAAAAAACACTACAGGGTTATGAGTGTACCTCAGTAGGAAGGCTCCAGGTTCATTCATCAGTATAAAACAAAAATAAATCCTACACTACAAACATGCAAATATTTAGTACAAACATGCCAAGTACAGATAATTATATCATAATACAAAATAAAAATACTTCCCTAATAACTAACAGAATACCATAATACTAAGAACCAGTTGGTAGGGTATACAAGGCTAATCACCATTCTAATCACAATTAATATTTTTAATGTATACCATATAACATACTGCGTTAAATGTTTTGTACATTATTTTGTTTAATCTTCAAAACTACCTGAGATAATTCCATTACCCCCACTTCACAGATGAGCTCGTTGTGCCCAAGGTCACTAGTAGTGGTGGACAAACTTCAGGACACATACTCTTAACCACCAATTTCATTTCACCTCACTTCTTTCCTTACATTTAAACTGTCTCTCTCATGACATTGAAAGTTCCTTGACAACTGCTTTTTGTTCATTTTCATTCACCTTGGTACTCAGCAAACAATAAATAAATAGTACATACTTCATTTCAGTGTTTTCAGGATATAAAGTGATTTCAGGACATGAACTAATTTGTTCTCCTGGACAACTTTGTGAAGTATAAATTTTTTTATTTTAACCATATTAAGTGAATAACTAAGGGCACTGAGAACATTTGCAATGTTGTACAACATTACCACTAAGTTTGAAAGATTTTTTAATGACTTTAATGAAATCATTTAGCCTTTAAGTGGTAGAACTGAGATTTGAAACCAGACCCCCTGACTTGTGAGTAAATCTATTTGCTCTGCATTCCACCAAGGCTGCTGCCTACCATTACCTCCACCTTTTCACCAGCATCTGGAGAATCAAATGGGAGAAAGACACTAAAACACTTCACACATATCACTTCTGCATAGGTGAACCTCATTGCAGGAATCTCTCTCTCTCTCTCTCTCTCTCTCTCTCTCTCTCTCTCTCACACACACACACACACACACACACACTTCTAGGCAGGAGCTTTTGAAAGCCAGAGCTTTAATAGGAACATCTCACCTCTAAACCATGACTACAGATCAAGCAATGTTCATAACCCAAAGCAAAGTTATGAGAAGAAATGCTTACCCTAGTCAGATAATATTTTCTTCAAGTCACAGGTCACTGCTCAAACCTAGTTTTTATTATAATTTAAAAAAAAAAAACAAAAAACTTCCTACTACCCCCCCAACAAAAACCATTTTCAATTCTAAGGGTAAGTCCAACCTTTCATAACTTTGTTTATTCTGGAATTTAAAAAAAAAAAGATTCTAAAAGTATATTTAATGTGCTCAACTATGGTTTGTTTTTGAGCTGAACCAAGGCTTTAAGAAAAATAAAAAAGAATTATTTTGTTTCCATTAATGCCAATTTTATCCTCTTTGTATCTCTCATTTTTCTTCAGCCTGAGCTCTAATTATCAGCCACTTCATATTTAACACGAGAGTTAATGCAATTAAGTTCACAAAATTGTTTCCCTAAAGCTGTTCCTTCCGCATACACTCCTCTCTACCTTTCATCAGCATTCTGCCAGAAAAGCATGCATATCTCCAAGCTTTAAATCAAATTTGTGATGAATAGATACAGATATTGTTTCTGTAGTTAATGCAATGTGCTTACATCAACATCATCCCCTAAAAAATAAAATAAAAATGCCTTTATATACCTCATTTATCCACATGTGACAGAATTCTGATCACTTGAATGCCTTTAGGAGAAAATTCAATCTATACAAATAGTCCAATTATTTTAAATTTTATCAGGCAATGTCAAAAGAGAATCAAATGAAAAACTCCATCAGTACCAAACCATCTCACCAATGAATATTTATGACATTTCCATATTTCCTGTCTTCTCTCTGTTTACATAAAGCAGTGGTGCCAAGACTCATCTCAGGATTATTAGCCTGCAATACAGTGATGGGCCTAATTGTCTTGCAAACCAGGACACCAATAAATGGAGTCTTTAAGCAATCGATGGGGTGGAGGGGCCACCTAAGCTCTTTCTGCATACATGAACATTACCTGCTTAGAAAATAAATTCAGCCTCATATTTTTCAGTCTCATTCATCAGTTCTAAAGCAAAGAATGTATACTTAACAACCCCAAGCTCATCAAATCTATTTAAATTCCAAATTCCAGGACTAGTTTTAAATGCATCAGGAGAGGTAAACCAAAAGGCAGAAATAGCATATAGAAAGGTACCTATTACATTCCACTTTCATCTTCTCCCACTTTTGAGAGTGGGTCCCCTCAATTTTCTCTTTTTGATATATGAATAACAGAAGACATCCTCCCTTCCTTAATTCTATCTTCCCTGAAACCCCTCTCAACTTTGCCCTTTGGGCTGACTTTACTTCCACATAATATTAATGCAAACAAACAAAAAGATCAAACTGACAGCTTAAGATGTTCTCCAGGAGAATCTTTAATGTACCTTCAGTCCCTGGCAAGGTCCCTTTCAACAATCTTATTGCCCCTCCCCCAAATGTCCATCAATGCTGTCCCTTTAAAGTGTCCAACCCCTAGAGCTCTTGTGTGTCTAGGAGGACATCCCAATCCTTTCCCTCCAGAAGAATCCTCCCCATTCCTTCCCAGCTCAGTTCCATGTCCCTCTCCATCGTCTCTGCCCCATTCATGCCAACAACCTTAAATTTCCCTTCTGCCACCTTAACCATCCACAACCATCTTTCCAGTTTATCACAGATGTTCCTTCTCCAAACGCTTTCTGCCACCTTGGGCAAGGGACATTTTCTTCAAATACCATCCCCCAATCTCGCTCACCACCTGCCACTGTTCTGAGTCCAGCCTAGCAGCAATTTTATGTACTCTTTGCCTCCACATAGCAACCGGGGCACCACCGAGGCCCCTCCAGTAATTCAAAGATTACCCTAAATATTATTCCACTATACCCCACCCCCAATTTCAATTCTTGTCCTCCCATTTAGGGCCTACCCTACCATTTAACCGAACTCCTGCCAGCTCACCATCACATTCTTCTTATTGTAAGTGTTACCCCTACTGCTTCTTCTATTCCAACATCCATCAACCTACCCCAGGAAAACCCCCAATTCCACCTTCTCTGCGTACCTTAAACCCAGGCTAATTCCATAAATTTCCACAAATTCCACCATCCCCAGATGACAAATGCCTACTTTAACCTAGGGTCTCAACCTATGCAGAGCCCCCATTTGCCGGCTCCTACTACCTCCATTACCCTGTGGTCCACCCCACAGTCCACCTTAGTGAATTAACATTCCCCAGGGTCCTATCCAACCGATTACATCCCACTTTGTATTGAAATCATCCCCCTAACCCCCAACCGGGCTCAGATCTCAAGCTGTCAACAGCTCCAGGCAAACCCCAAACCACCACCCTCATTCAGTCCCCTCCCCCATTAAAGCCATCCCACCCCAGTCTCATCTTTCACCTCTCCCTAAGACCATCCTAAATTCCACCCCATTCCTCCACCCCACGCCCCTGCCCCAGGTCTGGTCATTCTCCCATTAAAAGTCCCTCTCCCTCCCTCACTGTCCCCCCAACCTGCTTGGGTCGCACGCTCACCCCACCCCCAGCCTGCGCCTGGACAAGTCTCCCCCGCCAGCCCGCCGTTCTATCACGACCTCAGCCCCCTCCCCCCAAATCCACTCTTATTCACCCCAGCACCGGCAGCCCGTGATCTACAAGAGCAGGCCGGGTCCGGACCAGGGTCGCGACCAGGGCCCGGGCCCGGCCGGGCCGAGGGGAGGAGGGGGGTCTCCTCACCGGTGAGCGGCTGCACGCGAAAGCGGCGGTGGCGGCTGAAGCAGCGATGCCCTTGTCTTCTCTGGAGGCTACAGCGGGGACGCTCTCGCTTCCTCGCCCGTGTCCAGTAGAGTGGCGGATGGCGCGCAGGGACAGAAGCCTCCTCCTCCTCCTCCTCAGCGACTCGGCTCTGAATCCTCTGCAGTAGCCGCCGAGGAGCCCGACGGGTGGGGGGAGGGGACTCTCCGCTGCGGGCAAGGGAGGAGGAGGAGGCGGAGGGAGAGAGCTGGGGACCGCTGAGAAGGGCGGGGGAGGAGGAGGCGGCACCGCGACACGACACGTCCCACAGCCTCGGCGCGCCAGGACCACAATTCCCAGCATGCCCTGCTCCGGCCAACGCGCGGCCTGCGCCTCCCGAGACGGACCTGTGCCGAGGGGCCGCACCCTCTGTGGTACAGAAAAAATGGAAGGAAACCAACCGTCCGCCGGTGGCTTTTGTAGACTCAAACACTACCTTTAAGAAAAGGCAGGTCATTCTGCAGCCCCACCCCCAGGTGGCGAAATTCACAGGATCTCCAACCTACAGATGCCCATCGCGGCCCACTAGACTACATCTCCCAGCATGCCACGCGACCTTCCAATCTCCTCCTTCCCTACCCTTCTCAGACCCGGTACTACAGTTCCCAGACAGTGTGGTCCCTATGAAATGCTGGGAGATGAAGTTCTTGATTCTTCCTCCATGTTAAGAAAAAGTGAAAGAGGAAAAAGGGACGGAAGGCATATATCAGCACACCGAGCATAGGCCTAAATGGGCTAGCTCACCTGTGGTTCCGTACGCTCCTCGCCCTCTCGGTTTCACTGCCTGACACCAGAATTAATGCAGCGGCTTCCTTACTGGTCTCGCTGCAAATCTGAGGACAGTTTAGCAACTTGAATCCAAATATAAAAAGAGGACATTTCTGTATATTTACGCGTACAGCTCCATTACTTTAAGAATTTATCTTGAAAAGACAACAATTTGAAAAGAATGTTATATAAGGTTCTTGATTATTGGGGGAAACAAATACCCATTAATACAGGGATAATTACACTGTGATGTATATATACAGTGCAGGACTAAATAGCCTTTACAATGATAATAAAGGTCAATTGACATGAAAAAGTATTCCCAATTTATTCTGGGATTGATTACAGAACAAAGCATGTTTAGACAAGACCAATTTATGTGAAGTGAGAGACAATATAAACACGGAGAAATTTCAGGAAAAATTTTCACTGATTCTGGGCAGATTTTATGATATTTTTATTTTTTCATATTGCCTGAATTGTTTAATAGGAACACTAAGCTGTAAAATGATTTCAAGAAATAAATAATTTTCAAATCCAGCGATTTTCCTGGCTTTGCATTGGTTTTCCATTGCCTCTAAGTGCTTCAAGGTAGCCTACAAATTTTCTGTGAGCTCCGCAGTTCAATTAGTAAAACAATGGTGGTCATTTCCAATTCATAAAAGAACATTAAATTAGCACAGAAAATTTTCTCAGCTTTCTGAGAAAGTTGATTTTGTGACTCCTGATCACAAAATTTTCTTTTTTCTGATTTTTTCACATGCATTTTTTACTTTTCTACTATTCATTCTTCAAACACAAACCAAGGTTCTGTCTTCCAGTTGTAGTCAGTGTTTGCAAGGGAATAGATCTCATTGTAGGACATACAATTTACAGAATTATTTTATAATACTCAAAAAGTCAAATGCAAAAAAAAAAAAAAAAGTCAAATGCAGAAGAGTATGGGAGGTCTATCCATTCACTAGAGCCCCAAATAATCCAGTGGAGGGCCTGGATCCCATGCAATATCCTGCATGTGTTCAGTAGAGCCCATGGCAATGTCTCATACAAGTCTATCAAGGATCTGCACTGGGAAGGCAGTGGTGGAAGCTAAAAAGTCTGTGCCAGTGGGGTGAAGGATCTCTGCCAGCAGGCTGAGAAATCTGCACTAGAGCCAGGAAGCAATACTTAAGGTAAGGACCTAAGCTCTTGCAAAGAGAACTACAGCTGTCCTCAGGAGCAGGAAAGACTTAAACTCCTCTGACAGTGAGAACAGCCAAGTTCATGTCAGGGACACCAGCATGACAAGCCTCCCCAGGGACCAACAGCACACCATCTTCCCCTCCAGTTCTCTTATGCTGTTGGCAACAATTCTTACCCAGAAGCACTGATTCAGCTCAGCTGGGTGTTACAGTTTGACTATTAATCCACCACTTTCCTAGGGCTTGTTTTAAGCACACTGAATTTCAGTTCCTACAGCAAAGGTTTCTCCTCTGTGAATCCAATATTATGGAGAGAAGTGAGGAGAAAGGAACGGAGATACTGTGAAGGGCCTAGAAAGTGCTACATACCGTGAAGCACCGTCCATAGAAAAAAGGCTCGAATTAAGTTGTGTTTCCATATTTCCTGTCTTCTCTCTGTTTACATAAAGCAGTGGTGCCAAGACTCATCTCAGGATTATTAGCCTGCAATACAATGATGGGCCTAATTGCCTTGCAAACCAGGACACCAATAAATGGAGTCTTTAAGCAATCGATGGGGTGGAGGGGCCACCTAAGCTCTTTCTGCGTGCATGAACCATGTATCAAGTACCAACTCCCCACAATAAATGTGAATGTTATGTACTGCAAACATGTACTAGTAAAAATAAAACTTTGGAAAACATAAAAAGGAAAAAAGTCTTGTTTTGTTTTGTTTTGTTTTTTCCTTTTGACACCTGTCTCTGGCTTTTCTAGAATATGGACTATGGTACATGATTTCTGGTATAACAAATCATGAATTCAATTACAGTATTTCCAATTTTATACAGCATTATGCCTTGGTGTTCTGTAAAAAAATGCATTTGAACAGAGGGGGGGAAAATGCGTTTGAGCTCCACCACTCAGCCCACTGGAGAACTACAGGCCTATACCATAGGAGAAGCTCAGCTGCTTAGCTCAGAGACAACTTACTTCACAGACCTGCTACAAACCCTCTCTTTCACCCCAGCCCACTCTGGTTACACTACTGCCCTTAGGAGCCTCTTTTCCCAGGCACAGTGTGCACCAGGCACTGCTCTTCTATGTTTTCATCCCATTCTCCAAGCCTTGAAATCTCAGCCCATCTGTTCCATAGGATAGGTTGGCTATGTGTCAAGCAAGTTCCTTGGTCTCTCTTACTGATACACTGCCCACTTTTAAACCTTGTCTTTGATTCTTTTCCTCCTCCTTTTCCCTGCTTCGCCTAGTAGCAGAAGGTAGGGGCTGTGTGGTAAAAATTAGAGAACTTCTTGTCTATCTAGCAAGTCAAGCATTAGAGTTAGGGGAATAAAGAGGTATGAGAAAGGTTACTGAAGTAGGAATCACCATCATATCCTAAATTAGGCCTTGGCATGAGCATAATGGGTGACCAGTAAGACTCTTAACATTTCTGAACTTGTGTTTTTGTATCTGTAAAATGAGAGAAATGATTTCCTGCCCTGCTATCTTATCAGGCTACTAAGAAAACCCAGTAAAATGATGGCTATAAGTGTTTTGAAGAATATATGAAGTGTCACACTCTAAGACCTCGATTTAATTTGAGAATTCGCCAAATTGTGGCCAAGGTGTGACATGAAGCTTTTGAGAATTACATCAATATTAATGAATTTATGAAAAGGTTTTTTTTTTTTTTTTTTTAAAGTCTTGCTTTGTAGTGCAGCCTGGGCTTGAATTTACTATGTAGCCCAGCCTAGCCTCAAACTTACCTCAAGCCTCCTACTTTAGCCCCACAAGTGATAAGTTTACAGTCATGTACCATCACACCTAGTTTATGAAAGTTTTTAAGGAATGAACTCCACTCAGCCATTTTATCTGTTTCACAAAAGTATTACATTTCTAACTATGCTCCATTAATCAATTACTAAATTTTCTAGGTTTTTTTCTA